TTTTAGACTCAAGACACCACCTCCATACATTTTTTGTATTTAGCAGCACCCCACTGTAAAAATTAATTTATTACAGCACTTAACTCCTCAGAGGTGCCAGCTGGGGGACAGGGATGCTGGAGAAAAGCAATCACTTACATCCTCACATAGAAACTGGGCAGGAGGGAAAAGTCAAGCACTTACCACCTCACATAGGGACCAGGTACGGATGAGGAATAAATGGTAATGTCCTCACACCCTTCATCCCACTTAAAATTGCCACAGCACCCCAACTGAGAATCACTGCTGTAGAATAAACTCAGAAGAGAATGAACATCAACCAAACTCACTATTTCCCCCTCCCAGTGCAATACTGGGTTTCTTTCATTTTACTTTCTTAAATGAATTATCACCTACACTTATATTTTTAAACAGAAAAAAAAGACTCCTAGCCCAAAGTACTTCACACATTTCTCCTCCTGAGGAGAAGGTAAGAAAAAGCAGTCATGTCAAGTTATAGTGCTTGGTATCTTACTGGAAGATGTTCAAATATTGGAGTTATGAACATAACTACAGTCATTATTTTGTCACATTATATACAGAAAAACTTGTTTTTATTGCTTGGCTCATTTTTCACAGACCTCACAATTTTATATTAGGAACAAATCACAATAAAGTAACTGTTACATTAAAGCTGTGATATCGGCCCTACTTCCACTACTCGTATGCATCACTGTAAATATACAGCAATATAAGCTGTGGAAAAATTCTCAAAGAACTTACACTTCAAATCAGACGGCCCCTTAAAACCAGAAGCACCACATTTAAAAAGGTCTTGGTATGTCTATGAATTAAGGAAATCAACTCTGGAGTGGCACCTGGAATAGTTATAAAATGGATTTAAAGTAAGGTGGACTTGAAAATACCATTCATGACAGACACAGCCTCAAAAGACTTAAATCAATGTAATATGAGCTACAGCTTCTTATATCATGGCTTATATCATGGCAACTACAGTAAGAGGCACAATAAAAGTGGCAGCCTAAAGCATAGGATCTACCTGTACAGAAAGCCAAAAAGAGGTAAGATAGAGTAGGATTAAATAGGGAAGTGATATTACTTATTTTTGAGGATTCACCCATAAAAAAGTCTGACAAATTTTGCATATCCATAGAAGTTGAATCTCTGCAGCCTCTGAGACTTGTACTGGTGAAATCCTACCAACATTAAGTTTCCATTCATTATATGGGCTTCCTGTGCTTCGTGGGAAGCAGAAGGAGCAGCATTAACCACTGAACTGGGTAGAGAAGAAGACTGATTTATGGGCTAAGGAGACTACTCCTAAGCTATGCCAAGCAGATCCTCAGTACATAGTTTTTATAGTGGCACAAAATTTTAACTTAATTTCACTGAAGTTAAATTCAATACATATAAAATTTAAATTCTATGTGGTCATTTCTAGGATTCCAATTGAAAATTACTGGTGCTTGATGCAAGAAATCATCTCCTCTTAGAGCTAAATGCCAAAGTACTAAGTGCTCAGGTGGCAAGAATATTAGCCAAACACTAAAATTTAATCACCAGCGATGAGCTACCCAACCAGGCATTCTAGAGGTAACTGCAATAAACCCTCTCTCATATCAAGGAAATGTTTTAAAATCATGCATTTAAAATATATAAGCAATTTGCTGTGTTTTCAGGTCAGCATGAACTTAGCTATGTACAAATCTTTGATATGTTTAATGTTGCTGCATGTTCAATGTTGTATATACAATGAACAAGTACGAAACAATCAAATTCAAACTCCAGCATTACAAATAATGGGTCCTCACCAATGCTTCTCCCCTGTAGTTATGGTATTATGTAAGTAAAAGCAGGCGGCCAATCCTGGTTTTCCCACTGATTCCAGAAAGCATTTTTTCACAGATTTCACAGAAACCATGACATGGCAATTTAGTAGGTTCCTACTTATAAAATACGCCCCCCTACCCCCGTCTTCTCTTCTCCATATTGAATAACCCCAGTTCTTCCCATTTTTTCTCTAATCATTTCTGTTGCTCTCTGCTGGACTCTTTCCAATTTATCTACATCTTCCTTGACATGCAATACCCCAAAGGGGATACTATACTCCAGATGAGACCTCACCAGTGTAGCATGCCATGGAAGAACCACTTCCTGTGACTTGTGAGACTATTATAATTTTTACCGGTATACTACTGGCTTTTCTTTCAGGTTTTTCTGTTCAATCCCATCCCCCAAGTCCATTAATGAATATGTGAAATTGTACTGAAATTCAGAGCAGAAGACCCCTGGGGAACCCCGATTCCCCCTTCAATGCCTCCTGCTAATTGAGAACTACTCTAAGGACAGTGATCTAACCAGTTATATACTTCTATATATAGTCTACATTACAGTACTTTCATCTAGACTGTATTTCCTTACCTCACTAATGAGACTGTCAAAAGCCTTACTGAACTCAAGGTATATCATTGAGTTTTATTGCCTCCACTGGTCTCCCCATCCTTAAAGCCCACTCCCTTGTCAAAGTAAATCAGGTTGGTTAAGTATGACTTTCTCCTGACAAACCCATGTTGATTGTTCCAGATCACTTTGCTTAGTGATGGATGCTTAGAAATATGATTCCTTGATGGCCTGCTTCATAATATTGAAGGTTTTCAAGTCAGACTGACCAAATACCCCATATCCTCTGCCACCTCTTTAAAAAAAAAATGGACGCTATGTTTTTCAGTCATCTCACTTGACCTCTACAACCATGTCCACACATGCAAGTACCTGCGCTTACAGCAGCTCAAATAGCAGTGGTGCAGATTTGAGCTGGGGCTTTTTGCCCCAGCACATGTGCTTGGACATGCACTTTGTTGTGAAGCAAATTGTGCCACTTGGAGCAAAATAACCCTGCCTGGCGCCTCCCAGATCTGTAGCCAGGGGGAGCTAGAGTCTGGGGCCAGCACCTGTGCTGTCCCTAGCAGTATAAAAAGCTACCCTGTCCTGGCCCCATCCATACAAAAAGCTGCCCTGGCAAGCAGCTCAGGGCTACTCGCTCTCAGGAGCTTCTGAGGCCTGGCCACTTAGTACCTGGGGACACTACCCCTTGTGCCAGCTGAACTGCTGCAGCAGCATCCCAAATCTATTTTTTAAAATACTCCAAAATCCATGTTTTTCCACAATTAAAACAAAAGAACACTATACACACACACACACACATATCAAGAGAGAGAGAGAGATCAGTTGGGCAATGCTTTATTGGTATATTTACAATGTTAAAGAAATGTGAAAGCCTATCATCCTGATAAAATAAATTCTAAATACCTGTGTTGATGCGTGCTTTTGGTTTGCTTCGCACATGATGGGTGTGTGATGGGGGGATGTGGTGTTTGCAGGAAGGGGGTAGGAAGGGGTGTGGGGGAAGGCGGGTGTGTGTGTGGAGGGATGTGGGTTGGTGTGTTGGTAGGTGTGGGGTGATTGCTAGGGGGACTGTGGGTATGGGGGACCTTGTGGGGGGGCTGCTCAGGAGGGGTGGGTCCCCTGGCCCCCACAGGGTGCAGCCCCGCCACACAGAACATGGAATGCCAGCTCCCCCCTGGAGGGCCACAGGGCCCCAGCCCCCCCCCACCCAGGGTCCCAGGCACTCTGGAGGGTCATAGCGCCCCTGCCTAGGGTCCCAGCTCCCCCTGGAGGGCCACAGCAGCACAGGGAACATTTTTTTGTTCCTGCATGTGCCTCTTGTCCCACCTCAAAGGGGTTTGAGATGTGGCAAGAGGCATATGCGCGCTTGTCTGAATGTGCCCTACAAGTTCTCAAAGATAATAGTCAACAATTTCCAACTACCTTAGACAGTTCTTTGAGTCCTGTAGGATACATCCATTCCAGTCCTGCAGATTTTAAACCAAACAGTTTGTCTAAGTAATCCCTAACCTTCTTTACTTACTCTATTAACTCCTTCCCTGTTCTTGCTGCTAACTATAACCATCATCTCATAAGCAACTTTATTTGTGAAGGTTGAAGTAAAAAAGGCTTTATGCTTTTCTGCAACATCCATTATGAAATTGTCCTTCCAATTCAACAAGAGATCTATACTTAGTTTGGTTTTCCTCATACTTCTAGCATACTTATAAAATGTGTTTCTTGCCTTTTACTTCACCAAACAAATCTGGCAGCTGATGGAACAGACTGTGGCTAAAAATGCCTGAGGGTGAATTGATTCAGTCTTTGCAGGTTAGTCTAAGCTGCAGAGATTAAACTGAGAAACAACTGAACAAACATTATGATTCAGAAAATGCAGCCAGATGCCTGCAGTGGCTCAGGCCAGAAGCCACGGGATGGTACAGCATTGCTCTCTGGCACATAGCCAGCATGGGCTGTGTTCAATTCCTATTCCTTTTGCCCCGAGGTCTCTGGGATCTGCAATCCAGAATTAGAACAGCAGGACTCTGCAGGTTTGCTCATCACTTCCTCTTCCTGCTACCTCTGGGATTTGTAGTCCAGTCACAGCCAGCAGTAAGTTTAGCAGGGCAGGGTAGCTCTGTACTCAGGGGAAGGTGAGGTTTAAACCCCTTGCTAGCCCCGGACCCCAGCTGGGGTTTGCCTGGGGCGGGGGGTGCAGTCCCTGCCTTACCCTCTCCCCCATGCCTTCTCTGCTGAAGCAGACAGCCCAGCCCAGCCCAGCCCAGGGATGGAAAGCATGCTGGGACGCTGGAGGACTATAATTTAACTTGAACCAGGAAGGGGCCTGGAACAGAAGTTTCATAAACTGGTTTGACACAAATCAGTTAAGTCTGTTACTTCATTCAACCGGGTTTATCTTAAACTAGTTTCAGACATTTTGAAACTGGTTTATGTGCACTGAACGTCTGTTCTGTTACAGGTTTAAACCAGTTTCTGATGACTTAAACCGCTTTATGTGCAACTTCTGTCCCTAACCTATATGTATGAGAGTGTGTATGTGGGGATGGGGAAAGAGAGAGGTTCCTTTGTTTTGTTTTTTTTACTTAAACCTTTATTATACAAATACTCAAAAAGCTGTGAAAGTGCAAAGATATGCTGCCCTCCCCAGGGGCTGAGCATGAAACTCTTGTTAGTGACCAAAACAAAAAACTCATCATGTCAACAGAGAGTGAAACTTCCTCCCTCATGCCCCTTGTGCGATTATACGTGTAGCACCAGTTGTCCATCTTCTACTCTGCAGAGGATCCATTGCAACACAAACTGGTCCATGTTTTTTTTGCAAAGTGAAGTGCCCAAATTCAAATGTCACATGCACCTGGACCAGAAAGCAGAAGAGTTGGAGGACATCTGGGGCTAGCAATGGGTTTAAACCCTGAGAACCAGTTTCTGCAGATTTTCAAAGTCAGCATCTTGACCTGTCCCAGAAGGAAATTGGCCAGGCAGATCATGCTACCCTTGGCTGCTTAGTATAGAATTGAGAAGATGTACACAGTCTTAGAGAAGTCCAAGTCCAGCGTGCTAAAGAGAATGCTGATGGCAGCAAAGATTGACTAAAGCTGGGGCAGTTCAGAAAGGTTTGATTTGGTGTTGCTGCCACTACGTGCTGCCTCCAAGTCACATCAGAGTGGGTGGCAAAGGTTGCCTGCACTTTGACTGTCCACATGTACAGACAGGATCTCAAGGCAGATTGGGGAGAGAGAGCAGAGTGCTGTCCACAGTTAGAGAAACAGGTAGAGATAGAGAGCGTCTGTCTAGCAAGCTGCCATCAGGGAGGGCTTGTTGTGTATGGCGGTAGTCTTCTAGGAGAGCAAGCACATTTGCAGAAAGGGCAATTTTCATGTCACCCAAGAGGCATGCAGCTAAATGGACTGCCCAACAGTCAGGTCAAACAAGCTAAGATGAAGAGGTGAGTCAGCTTGATTATGTGCAACCTGACCAAGGAAGCAGTGAAGCTCCATGCCCCTTGCTGCAAGGCTAAGTTATGAACCAGGCACTCCTGCATCACCTCTGGAAATGGCAGGCTCCGGCCCAGGGGTCTCTGTTGGAGGTATGCCTGCCAGGCCTGGGTGAGGCTGCAGCAGAAGGGCAGCAGAGCATCCCAGCTGAGGTGATGGGGATCCAACAGGAACAGTTCCGATCGAGGCTAAGGTTCCCCCCACCTAATGCAGAAAAACAAAGGTCAGCTGTTCCCAGGGGAGGCATTCCCCAGACAGAAACAAAAAGAACATACACCCCTCTAATGAAAACATGTAAGAGGAGGGAAGGTTTTTCAGGTAACCATGATACCTAAATTATGCATCATGCAAATGAAACCAATTATTATAGACTGTAAGGAACTGCTTCTCAAAGTTACAATACCATGAAGAAAATGGAATTTCCAATAAAAAGCAACTACCTTGATACAATAGCCCAGGGGTGGGCAAAATGTGGCCTGTGGGCCGGATGAGGCCCACCAGGCCATTCTATGTGGGCCTCATGCGGCCCCCTAAAAATTTTAGAAAATTAATATTTATCTTCCCCTGGCTACCTGTCATGCGGCCCTTGATGGCTTGCCAAAACTCAGTAAGCAGCCCTCTGCCCGAAATAATTGTCCACCCCTGCAATAGCCTAATGACAGTAAGATAATTAACAGGGTATATACACTTACTTTATCCATCATGCAATGTATGTTTGAGTAGATATCTGAAAACATTTACTAGTTTACCTGCACATATCTATTCACAAACACACACACAAAACAGTCCTTGCAACAAAACATTGTGAAAGATTCATCGGTAAAAAAAAAAAAAGGTGGATCCTAATCGAGTATTTTCTCATTTTCACACTAAATGTATTCATATTAAATGTACTTTAGATAAATCTCAGCTGCCTGAAGCATACATTTAAGATGTTTGGTCCATTATTACATCAGTAGCTAAAAGGAAGTAGACACGTTCCCTTTATTGTTCTGTTACCAATAAGACAATTGGCAGATTTTTTTTACTTCCCACTCTGTACGCTTGTTTGCTAAGCAAAACTTCTTTCATGAAGTTTAAATACTACAACATCCAGGGATACATATGTATCCAGTGTTCAGTCATGAGTATTGCATTCATTTTCTGCCAAAACTTAGTTCTTGTACTGTATTTTAGGGAAATGCCAAATTACGTTTCAAAGATGGCCATAATATAGAGCAGTGGTTTATTCCACTAAATTATAGCCTCAATATGCCAGAAATATTCTTTTTCCTCTAACTACCCTTGGTTGGTGACTGAACAATAAAGGGAACAAACGATCAATGTTTGCAGCTCTTTTTGTGTGTGTGGTTTCTGAACAGAAGGGAGCTTGGTTTCTTGCCTAACAACCTGGGGAGGAGACTGAAAACAGACGAACATCTCCCAGATGTACAGACATAGCTCTGATTAAGCCACTGACATGACAACTGGTATCTCTTCACTCCTGGCACTCTTTAAAAGAGAACAATATGGCAGTTTTCCAGTCTAATTCTCCCAATTAAGCAGTTAGTGAAACATTATCCATCCTAGGAGGTTGTTGATGAAATAAATAGAGGGGTTAATTCACTGCATTAAGAACTTTATTAGTATTGTCTATTTTGACATTCGCTGTACTGGATGGGCCAGTGTGTATGCGCTGTGCTATCCTAAGTAGGGAAAACCTTTTCACCTGGAAATGAGAAATGATACCTTTATCAACACTCACCATGGGGTGCTACAAAGAGTTTCATGGCTCTTTTACTCAGCAAATATTTTGTGACCCGTTTTATTCTATTAATTTAAATTTAATCACATAATTTCTTTCAGTTTGTTTGGGGGTTTGTTTGTTTTTTAGTAACCAAAGTTCAACTATATTTTCCACACTGGTATAGCCAAAAACAAACAAATAAACTGAAAAGGTATTCATCAATGGAGTCAAGGTAGCACTCAAAACCCTCCAAGATGATCTCTGGGATTCACCAGAAGTGTTTCATAACTGTTTTGTGTTAACTCTTATGCACCACTGACTATAGAATTAATTATTTATTTTGTATTTTCTTAGTGAAGTGTCCAAATAACTGGCAGAGCAACCAGAGTATATGCAGTTATAAACAAAAAGACAATGCACAGATTACACTGCCAAGTAAGACTGCTCTGTTTTTTATAAGGGGTTCAAAAAGTTCTTACAAGAAACATCTGTCTCTTTTCCCTCTAACAAACAAAATCTTTTTAGCGCTTGTCCTGCATAATGTTCATATGAGTATATGGATCATTTTTATGTGTTCAAATAAAATGCACAAAGAATCAGAAGTCTGAGAAAAGCTTGAGAATAGTCAGTTTTCATTTGAGAAGAAGAACAAGCTGTAGGCAGGGACAGTAAAATTCACTTAATTAGCAAGATGCCCTTTAACTGAGATGCCAAGTTTTCTGCATTTCTAGTAAAGAACATGAATAAACAGCATACCCAGTAAATTGTAAGTGACATGCCTGGCATCCTCTGCAAGCCTATCAACACATGTGAAATAATATGTGCCAGCATAAACCTCCCACTCTGTGTCATTTCAGTGCTGTATTCAGAATGTCTTAATATTTCATTTTAAATCTTCAAATGGAACTGTTTAAAAATTGAGCAATTCAGAATTGGTCTACCATCCATATGACTCTGGAGCAAGTGAGCAAGGAATGGAGAATTACCATCTCCCCCATATATGATCCAACAAAAGTAATGCACCCAAATGCAGAAACAAGTGCACCTACAGGGAGGAACTTTCCCAGGAAATAGGAAAAGAATTATGTTTGAACCCAAGTTCCTTCTTGGAATTAGTCTTAGTATAGCCTTTTATCTCCGAATATTTTAAAATAAGGAACCCTGTGTTTTAAACTTTTCGGCCACATCCAGACAAGTGCGGTCACGTGCTATGTGGCACTGCAGACCCATCTCCAGTGCCACACACTGCACATTCAGTTATTTTCTGCCCTGCAGGGTAGCAGTGCAAGGGAGGGAGGGGGCACTGACCCCAGGATCTAACACATACAAAAAAAAAGTGGGGCAGCACGCACTGCCCAAAAACAGAGCCTGGCCAGGTAGAGATGCACTTCAGCTGCTGGCCAGGCTCCAAGCAGCAGGATCACCACAGCTGCAGCTCCCCAAAATCCCCAAGACTCCAGCTAAGGCTACTGGAACCAGTACAGTTGCTGGCCCCAGCCTCCCCTACCCCACCCAAAGTAATCTGCTGCACACAAGAGGGACAAGGTGTGCCACTACTTTTTGTCCCTGGGGAAATAAATGTCCATGCTCACATGGGTACAGCCTTGGAGTTCTGCATGTAAAGTCTTTGCTGTAATTCAGTTTAATACGTGTATATGAAAAAAAAAAGATTGTTACACATGATTTAACTAAAGAAAAGGACCATTTTCCCATTTCTAGACAACGAGCTCATAGCCTTCTCTGGAATGTTAAAAAACAAAAAAAAAAAGCAAAGAACAACCCCCCCACCAAAAAAAACCAAACCCCAAAAGCCTCCCTCACTTCATTTTTGATCACATTGTTCAGGAAACCTCATGCTTTTGACATTTACAAGCCTATTTTGGATACTTAAGAACATTCAATAAAATTTAAATAAAACTTCCATATGCTAGAAAACGTGTGATGTTGGCCTGTCTTTATTTCCACTACAACCTATCATGAACAGATCCATAAACGACGTGTGCCCCCGCTTATGAAACACAAATAGATGTTGGTGGTGACAACCAGCGTTCCACCTAAGCTGTGTGGCCACACAGGCACTTCTGGCAGCACGACATGAGCGTGGCTGTGCACGCCACACAGCTTAGAGGTAACGCTGGTGTCAACCAACACCTGGGGGTGACAATTGACAACTGACCAGAGGATGAATATGAGCTGCTGATGTGATGAAGTTGCCAACAGAGCAAGCAGAACTCTGGCGTGCATCTAATGTGTCACCAATAGATCCAGAGAGGTGCTCCTCCCCCTCTAATCAGCGTTGGTAAGGCCACAGATGGAGTACTGTATCCAGTTCTGGGCATCACACTTCAAGAAAGATGTGGACAAGCTCGAAAGGGTGCAGAGAAGGGCCACCCGCATGATCAAGGGCCTGAGGGATAGGGCTTATGAGAAGAAAGTTCAGGATCTGGGCTTGTTCAGTTTGAGTAAAAAAAGGCTGAGGGGTGACTTGATAGTCACCTACAAATATGTCAAGGGACAACACCAGTATCTGGGACAGCAACTTTTCAGAGAAGTTTCCCCTGGGAGGACAAGGACCAATGGGCACAAGCTACTTGGGGAAAAGTTTAGGCTAGACATACAGAGAAACTTCTTTTCTGTATGGGAAACCAAAATCTGGAACACACTTCCAGCAGAGGTGGTGCAGTCATCATCCCTGGTGGTGTTCAAGAGGAGGCTGGACAAGCACCTCGCTGAGCTCATTTGAGACCAATTACCTCCTGCCCATGGCAGGGGACCATGGGCTTACAGGTTCCTTCTGATCCTTCTTTCTATGATTTCTATGATTCTGTGTTTTCTGACGGCTGTGCGGAAATTTAGCAACATGATGACTAACTGAAGAGCAACCAAAAAACAACTCAAATTGACAATCAAGTGTAATGGACATCTCTCATATAAGTCAGATATGTGGATCAATATTTGTTCAAAGTATAGGGACAACTTGAATAGACAGAACTCTCACTATCTGGGAACAAGAACTTACTTAACACTTTCTCCTATTTAACACTTGTTTAACAAATCATTTTTCCTGTGTTTGAATTTTTAACTCCCCAGAAAATATTACAGACTAATTTTGCCAAGAAAGCTTATGCCTAAGTGAACATGATTTTCTAGTGACTCAAACTCTTTCTATTATGCATGGGCACACACAATAGATAGAGCAATGCCTTCTAAGATACACACATAATTTGGTGAATCTTTAAAAATATAATAGCTGGCTATTATATAGGTAGGGTGACCATATGTCCCAGTTTGGCTAGGATATTGCAGGATTCCATAGCCTGGTCCCAGCCAGTTGGTCATAAGTCCCAGGCCAGAGTCTGGTTGGGAGATGGGAGTGACACGATATGCTAGGCAGGTGGCTGGGCATGTATCATTGTTCCTGCGTGGGGCAAGAATATGCCATGTGGGGAAAAGGTGGTGTATGCTCTAGTCTGCCCAC